TCGAAATCATTTTGTAGCATCATGGATTTCACGAAGAGGGCCAGAAAACAGCCAAAGGTTGGAACTACCAGCAACAACAGTAACCTGATGTAACTTTTCGTTCTGCCAAACGATCTGAAAATGGAAGAGAATTAGTGAAGTTAGTTTTCCGTTGGATCAACAGTAACCTACAGCACTTACAATATGGTTATCACTAGCCACACCATCAACAAAATTCCGGCAAAAACCCCGTACCAGTAAGGATCTTCTGAAGGTGGTTTGAGAAATGTTGCCCTGCAAATATATAGAAAATATTATTGAAGGAAGAAAATATTATCCACGGCTTTACCTCAAACATTGTTGTCCACTCTTGCCGTAACTTGAGTAACCGTCCTGCAAAATATAGTTTGAAAAGTCACTATCTCATTTGTTGAAACTTAGGTATACAGTGTGTCCTCAAAGTATGGAATAAACTCGATATTTCCAAAACCAAAAGTCGTTTTATAAAAACCTGAAATACGTCGATTTTTAATTTTAATATTCTGCATTTTACAACAAAATTTCGTTATACAGGGTGATCCATATTAATGTGATGACGTCATCGGTAATTTTTTAAATACAACACCCTGCATTTTGTGTCAGTTTTAGATAATCCGTAACCTTGGGCTCTAACTGACAGAATTTGAAAGATATATGCTTAGAAAATAAATTTTATTGATATATAATAAAAGTAGAAATTAATTAATTATATTGTTTTCTAATGATTAATTTAAAAATGGAAAAGTCATCCAGTCATAAATACATGACTTAATTTTAAATGTTCGAACTGTATATACATGACTTTATTTTAAATGTTCGAACTGCAGTCCTTGCTGTATTTGACAGTAACCTAAACGTTGAATAAATTCTTGTTGAACCTTGTCGAAAAAATAGGGTCTGATGATCCTGTTTCTTACAATGCCAGCCCATACATTTACCTTTTGCGGGTATTCTGTATGATGCTCACGCATCCAGTGGGGGTTTTCTTTGGCCCAGTACCTACAATTTTGACGGTTGACCGCACCATTTAATGTAAAAGTGGCTTCATCAGAAAGTTATATTTTTTACGAGGAGACGGTGTCGGTGACAGTTATCCATCATGGCTTCACAAAATTCTATTCTTCTATCTGGAACAATACTTTGTGTAGGTACAGTTGTTTTACTGACATCGAAATCACGACTAACCTTACGAACAGAAGTGTGCACATCTTCTTCAAAAGCAAGTAGAACATCTAGTTTTGTATCATCATTTACAGACCTGATTTGCATGCATTTTTAACTGTACCAGTTTCTCGAAATTTATTTTCAATCTTACTTACTGCTGACTGTGTTATGCGTCTTTCTGGGTATTTTTCATTAAATAAGTTACACACTTCCATCTGAGTTCGCGATCTGTCTCCATAGCCACCTACCTACTTCAAATTAATTCGAAGCAATACTACAGAAAATTCACGAATTAATACAACTCGGTACTGTCATATTTAACAGTTACTGAACATCAATCGAAATAATGACATTTCACAATAACAAAAAATACTAGCCGCCTAGTTTTTTGAAATTAATAAGAAATCATTGTTAGCACGTTTACTGTCAACTACAGCAAGGACTACAGTTCGAACATTTAAAATAATGAGAGAGAGGACATTGTTAGATCAAGATCTTCAGATGATGTGGTGCTGCAGGTTTTTGCGGGTTTTCCTGCAGCTGAAAAAGCAAATGCGCCACTGGAATCAATGAAGTCGCCCCGGAGCGCCAATTAATTTTTATT